AGGCCAGTTGTCAAGCTCTAACCAACTGAGCTACACAGGCCAGTTGTCAAGCTCTAACCAACTGAGGTACAGAGGCCAGTTGTCGAGCTCTAACCAACTGAGCTACACAGGCCAGTTGTCAAGCTCTAACCAACTGAGCTACACAGGCCAGTTGTCGAGCTCTAACCAACTGAGCTACAGAGAGACAGTTGTCAAGCTCTAACCAACTGAGCTACAGAGAGATAGTTGTCGAGCTCTAACCAACTGAGCTACAGAGGCCAGTTGACGAACTCTAACCAACTGAGCTACAGAGGCCAGTTGTCGAACTCTAACCAACTGAGCTACAGAGACCAGTTGTCAAGCTCTAACCAACTGAGGTACACAGGCCAGTTGTCGAGCTCTAACCAACTGAGCTACAGAGAGACAGTTGTCAAGCTCTAACCAACTGAGCTACAGAGGCCAGTTGTCGAACTCTAACCAACTGAGCTACAGAGAGACAGTTGTCAAGCTCTAACCAACTGAGCTACAGAGAGACAGTTGTCGAACTCTAACCAACTGAGCTACAGAGGCCAGTTGTCAAGCTCTAACCAACTGAGCTACAGAGAGACAGTTGTCAAGCTCTAACCAACTGAGCTACAGAGGCCAGTTGTCGAGCTCTAACCACAAGTTCATGTATATACCACTAATTCAAAAAAGGTTGTAAGCGTGCAAAGCATCATTTGATCAGTTTAGAAATCATATATGGGGCCCATTTCTTAGAGACATGGTAAATATCTCCTTACGAGAACAATTCATTCACAAATAGCTGCAATATTCAACTACTAAGCTTGGAACTTGTGTTCCCATTAAGCTTTGCGCGCTTAGAGTTTAAGGTTTAAGGTTTGCAAAGGCCAACCGTATTGGCTGTATACAGGGTGTATAAAAAAAAAGTAATCTAACTTTAGGGACCGTTCAGCATTTATACCTGGGGTTGGTATCAAAGAGAAGAGAAAAACAGTGTACATTTTTTATTTACCCAACCTCAACATTGGTCAAAATAATGTTTACCCAACCCATGTGTTACTATACTTCATAATAATTAAACAAACAAGATTATGGTGACAGAAATCAAGTTGCCTAAATTCTAAAAGCTCACTCACACTCAACTCACTGAGTGTGCCAAAGCAATTACGTTCCTGCTGATCAATGATAGAGTCCTTCCTCGATCACTGATGGTCTATTTTGGTACAGAATGTATTGTACATATTTTTCTTCATATTTTCCAATGCTTGGTAATTTTGATCTTATTTTATTTTATAGCTGACAAACAGACATAAACTTTTTTACCCAACCCATGAGCTAGTCAAAAACTTGATTGCCCAACCCAAATCTCTTCGGTACCAATCCCGGGTATAAATAATGAACGGTCCCTTAGCTAGCCTGCGTCGCAACTTTAAAGCACATGTTTTATCACTAAAATATCACAAGTGTTTTAAAGTATGCGACGCAGGCTAACTTTACCATTGGCATTGCGCCGTTAATTACTCGGTGTATAAACGTTTTTCATAATATAATAAAGACCAATCTCTTAACTGTTGAATGAAACGTGTGTCATCCCATATGGAGAAAAAATGAGCAAAATATGAGTCAGATAAAAATAGTCTGTCGAAATCACATGGAAAAGCAATTAATCACGAATGGGTCATTTTAATAATGAGCTTTAAGCCTGTTTTACATATGCCTGCGGGATGCACGCTCTATCATTGTTTACAGCTGTTGATGAATACATTCTTTTGTGAATTATTTGGTTGAACTGCTAACGACAATAGCCCGCCGACATACCGCAGGCATATGCGAGCCAGGCTTTATATAGTGAGAATTAAACTCCTGTGAGTCAAGAGAACGTTCTATACCTCTTTCATCCCATGTTTTTGCAAATGATCGACCAGCAACCATAATTCTTTCGGTAAATCTAACGCCTTTGAGTCTACAGGTCTTGCATCCAATTGTGAACATTCCTGCCATTATAAAACAAACGACATATAGACCTAGTGATGTTATAAAACTAAGAGATGTCCTTACTGCACGTCCAGGGAGAACAGTTTAGAACTGGTAGAGCTATCCAGTATAAATAAAGTTAGTTTAGTTTAGGTTTCCTCCTGTAGTAACACTGGATCAATAAGAGATGATTCTTACTGGACCTCTAGGAAGAACAGCTTAGAACTGATAAAGCTATCCAGTATAAATAAAGTTAGTTTAGTTTAGGTTTTCTCCTGTAGTAACACTGGATCAATAAGAGATTACCCTTACTGGACCTCTAGGAAGAACAGTTTAGAACTGATAGAGCTATCCAGTATAAATAAAGTTAGTTTAGTTAAGGTTTCCTCCTGTAGTATCACTGGATCAATAAGAGATGATCCTTACTGGACCTCTATAGGAAGAACAGTTTAGAACTGATAGAGCTATCCAGTATAAATAAAGTTAGTTTAGTTTAGGTTTCCTCCTGTAGTAACACTGGATCAACAAGAGATGATCCTTACTGGACCTCTAGGAAGAACAGTTTAGAACTGATAAAGCTATCCAGTATAAATAAAGTTAGTTTAGTTTAGGTTTCCTCCTGTAGTATAACACTGGGTCAATAAGAGATTATCCTTACTGAACCTCTAGGAAGAACAGTTTAAAACTGATAGAACTATCCAGTATAAATAAAGTCAGTCTGTATCTCACTCACCACATCAATAAGTTTTGCCACAGGTACGTCTTGTATGGGTCGATATAGAAACACGAGACTTTCAATACATGAGCCAAACACACTAGGTATGTACGTCGCAGTGATCGGTACCTACTCACTTGTTAAGACATTTCAACATTGAAAGAAATATGCCTGACCACGGTGGGATTCGAACCTACGACCTTTGGAATACTAGCCCAATGCTCTGCCTACTGAGCTACGCGGTCAGGTCGGTTCGAGTATGCGATATTTCGGAACTGAGTCTAGTTCCTTCGATATCAGTGTAATCTAATAATCATGATATTTGCTGTGTTGGTGTAATGTACTCAGGTGAATAAGATGTTTGTGTGATGTTACTCTGAGTGTATATCCACACCGGGCAGGCTTGAAAAATATGCCTCGCCACGGTGGGATTCGAGTCGTAGGTTCGAATCCCACAGTGGCGAGGCATATTTTTCAAGCCTGCCCAGTGTGGATATACACTCAGAGTAACATCACACAAACATCTTATTCACCTGAGTACATTACACCAACACAGCAAATTTCATGATTGAAAGAAATATATTAGCTACGTGAAACTGACAAAGCCGTCCAGTATAAATTATAGCTAGTTTAAGTACGTTTTCCTTGACAATTTTACTTTCACCCCCTGGAGAAGTCCAGCACCACCCTAAAAAAATCTGCTTGACCATACTTTTTTTGCTTTTCGAATAGCAATTAGTGAAACTTCTATACTGTAGCGCGTGCCGATTTCTGAAACAATTTAATTGATTTGTGAGCTCACGAGAAAATACTCAGAATGCTTAAATGAAATATCATCATGGTTAAATATGTAAACATATCGAGGTTGTTATACAGCCATATTTTCAAATATACCGTACTTTAACATGCAAATTTACTGTACTGTGCTACAGCAACTGTCCAGTCACGCATACGTGATAAAAAGTCAATATAAACGTTATAGACAAAAGATAATGTAAAACGTAACAAAACGGCGAACATGCAGATTCGGCCATCTCAAATAATGGAAATGTTGGGATATAGTAGCGTTGCAGACTGCAGAGGAGAGTGGGCAGTAAGGCTCCCTCATGCACCACCTCATGATAATTTATAGATAGGTAAAAAAGATACAAAGATATCTTTTCCTCCTTGTAAATGTAACACCAGAATATCTTCAATCTTTTCTTTACCCGCAGTCAGTGGACCCGCGGAATCTTTATCCACGAATACCGCGATATTGACAGTCTTGGTATCATCTGTAATCGAAAACGACTTAATTAATAAGGTTACTGCTGTAATAATACTGGATCAACAAGAGATGATCCTTACTGGATCTCTAAGAAGAACAGTTTAGAACTGATAGAGCTATCTAGTATAAATAAAGTTAGTTTAGGTTGGGTTTCCTCCTGTAGTAACACTGAATCAACAAGAGATGATCCTTACTGGACCTCTAGGAAGAACAGTTTAGAACTGATAGAACTATCCAGTATAAATAAAGTTAGTTTAGTTTAGGTTTCCTCGTGTAGCAACACTGGATCAACAAGAGATGATCCTTACTGGACCTCTAGGAAGAACAGTTTAGAATTGACAGAGCTATCCACAGTATCCAGTATAAATAAAGTTAGTTTAGTTTAGGTTTCCTCCTGTAGTAACACTGGATCAATAAGAGATTAGAAAGAACAGTTTAGAATTGATAGAGCCATCCAGTATAAATAAAGTTCGTTTAGTTTAAGTTTCCTCCGGTAGTAACACTGGATCAATAAGAGATGATTCTTACTGGACCTCTAGGAAGAACAATTTAGAACTTATAGAGCTATCCAGTATAAATAAATTCTGCTAATTCACACTAATGCTGTCCTGCGTATACATTTCCCTAAAACTTACTTTGTTTAACGAGACCAGCACACGGATCTATGATCAACCATGGTTTACAAAAATGCTTTTCTTGTAATTTCGGGATAAACGTGTACTGTACAGCAACCTATTTAATAAAAGAACGCAGAAGTATGCAACATGGATTTTCTTACACGAAACAACTAAACATTTTAAAGTTGGAACATACATTGGAATGATTACATTACCTGTCCAACGTTGATGATTTCGAAACTTTGAGATTTCTTTTCCAGAAACTGAATATTTCCAAAATGTAACTGAAAGAGAAAGCAATGCAATAGACCTTGTGCATAATGACGTCACAAGGCTTGATGCCCGCGAGGAATGCTGGTCTTAAGCCGGTTACAGACGAGCAAGTTTTCTATGACAAGTTTTTATTTGCTCGTCTGTTCGCGCAACTTTGACAATTTTTTCTATGACAAGTACACTTGTTCAAAAGCTAGCATGCTAGCTTTTGAACAAGTGCACTTGTCTTAGAAAAAACTGTCAAAGTACAAATTTTGTTCGTCTGTATGGGTCAACAAATAAAACTTGTCAAAGTAATCTGAGCATTTGATCATGTGATTGGCCAGCGCTCGCGTTGTCCGCTGTACTATTACATTGCTGGCCATGCCTAATAAATTGTCAAAGTAAACTTGTTGACACGTTCACACCAGTAAATAAAACTTGTCATATGAAAACTTGTCACATCAAATTTGTTGCATATACACATGTGCACTTGGCAAATAAAACTTGTCACATAAAAACTTGTCATAGAAAACTTGCTCGTCTGTAACCGGCTTTAGCAGTCATCGCCCGGGAAAATTAAACAATTCAAAACGGCCACTATCGAAATTTTCCCGCGCGATGACTACTAAGACCAGCATTCCTCGCGGGCATCTGTGACGTCATTATGCATAAGGTCTATTCTGCGATTTCAAACTTCGTTTACAATTTCGACACATTGATACTAAAGGCAGTTGAATGGAAATTATCCAGTGAAAATTTGTTTACATTTATTACTGACCAAACCAGGAACAGAAGCGAAAAATACAACTTTAGGCCCTACTTCCTTATTTCCATCTACTGTACAAAAACCCTTCAAACTGTTAAAGTGGCACTCGCGTCAAAATTTTTATTTTTCTATTTTCTTAAAATGCTCTTAAAACTGCATAGTTACTTGTTTTGAAGATTTTTTTTCCCATGCTTAATTCTCGAGATATTTCATCTCGAGATATTTCATTTTACATATATAATGAGATATCAGTAATTGTTGTGTATGTTTGCTATTTTTTATCAAATCTTTTCAAAGATGCAGCGCGTTTCTTAATCTAACCTACATCATTAAGCATACTGTTTGTTTTAAACAGATCCATCAAAAACAGCGAAGATACACAACAATTACTGATGTCTCATTATGTATGCAATTGAGTCATTGACGTCACAGGGTTACAAAAAAATGAAATATCTCAAGAATTAAGCATGGGAACAAAAATCTTAAAAACAAGTTACTATACAGTTTTAAGAGCATTTTAAGAAAATAAGAAAATAAAAGTTTTGACGCGAGTGCCACTTTAAAATCTATACTTACCTCTTTGATATTGAGTTCAACTTGTGGTAAGAAGTCGTTCTCTCGTTTGTCCAGTTCGCGAACAACTTCCTCCAAAACTGATTTCTCTCGCCTTTTGTCAACGACTTTCACCTAAAAAGCGAAGAGAAACGTCTCAATTTGTTGTCATAAACTGAAGGTAATATGGAATAAGTAAGTGGGATGTGCTATCATCTTTACCGACAGCTGAGAGCTAAGCTGAATTACGAAGGATGCAGCTCAACCTGATCGAGAAGAAACCTTTATTCGTACTCACAAGAAAAGAAAATTAGTTATTTACATACGTTATAATACATACGTTATTTAGGCATATTTATGAGTTAGAGTAGTGGCTGCACAAAATAACCATAAGGGCTGGAAAGAGGTGCAGCCAACAAGGACTGGGGGAAATATAAACATATAACAAGCTCACAGAACAGCCGTCTCCAACAGGATGTTGGAGAGAACTGCACACAAAATAACCTCATTACAATGTTCATTTTTACATCAAATAATAAAGTTAGTTTTTATTACAATTCTCAATATTTCTGGATCATTTCAATTTTTATTCTCTTTTTGAATTGCGAGAAAGAGAGAGATTTGACATTTTCTTCTAAAGAATTCCATATTTTAACACCTTGGAATCTTATATTAAAGATACCATAATGGTAAATAGTATGATTGTTTAACAGTAAGTCTTGTACTATAATTAGAAGCCCCATGGAGTCGAAGGCTTTGAGAATAAAGTAGGTCGTTTGCAACTTTCCTCAATCACTGGCTGCCAAACAAAGTCTGTCGAAGTATTTAGTGTAGTGTTGGCCTGATTTCAGTTACTGCCTATTCTGTATTTTCAATATTTGTACAGAGGTTAGTTTTCAAGACATTTGTCTATTTAACTCTATATAAGAACACCGCACTAATGCCATTAGGAACAAACGAGAATGCAGAATAGGCAGTAACTTACACCAGGCAAACATTACACTGAATATTTCTACAAACTATGTTCTGTAACCAGCAATTGAGACAAATTGTAAACGACCTACGGTAATCTCTTATTTTGTGATTTACATGCAGCATCGCGTAATATAATTTACTGTTTACTGCGGAAGCCATATATTTCAACGGGTTATGCATTGATGATGTTCAAATTAGAAAAGAAATAAAATAATGATTTTCTGATTTCTTGTCATACAACTGGTCTTAAGTCTGGTTTCTATATGGTCGTGATGGTCGTAAAAATAGAGTGACGATCTTTCTCAAACGCCAGTTTATAATAGTTTATACCTGTAAACCACATATAAATCATAAGTATTCTCTAGTTCTAATCACTCGCGTATTTTCAGTTCAGAAATGTTGTATTTTGGCTGATGAGAAAGATCGTGACTCAATCGATAGAGAGGTTAAGATACCCCGGTTTCGGTGTAGTATAGGACTGTTCGGTATAACGATATACCGAAAATATCGGTATTAAATCAATATCGGTATATCGATACCGGATATTCAACCATACCGATATACCGAAATTTCGGATATACCGGAATTTTTCGGTGTACCGTGTTAAATTTACCAACTATATGGCGAAACCATAACCTTTATTTTACTACTGAATAGCAATTCAAAGAACTTTCTACTGCAATGATTTAGAATTTCCACTTCAGTGAGATTTTACACTGAGTACGTGCATGTCCTTCGAAACAGCTTCGAAATTATCGTTTTCCCTTTTAGAATTACTCAAAATTTCCTTCAAACTTCCATTAAAGAATTTTCCTTTATAATTATCAAAGGAAAACCGGTATACCGATAATATCGGTATAATTTTTTCGGTATACCGATACCGGAAATTTCTCATACCGAACATTCCTAGTGTAGTACGGGTAGCATGATTTTGGCTAGCAATATTTTCGTCGATGTCTGTACCTTTACTCGTAATTAAGGTGCGCATTTTTCGCATTATATCATTGTCTATTGCAAGAAAACAGAAAAAGTGTGATCGAATTACAGACATCAGTAAAACAAGATGACACTACTCGTACCCGCACACCGAAACCGAGGTATCTTAACCTCTCTGATATCTTTACGACCGTTACGACCATATGCCGGGAAACCACGCTTCATTGAGAGAAGACTTTCGAAGCGGAAGTTAAAATTCTTTCATACGCATTTTAAAATTTAAAACATATAACTTACATTGACATTAAATAAAGCATGAACAGGTTTATGGTCACTAAGTTTCAACTGGGGACAACTAGTGTACGCCATCTGTTGTACCGAGTTGTTCCCCGATGTCCACCAAAGCACTCGATCACACCAAGCAGGAATTCTGTCTTTCTCACTATATAAAGAAGCGAGACAAATTAATGACACTGAACAATATGTAACACTGGATCAATAAGAGATGATCCTTACTGGACCTCTACTGGGAGAACAGTTTAGAACTGATAGAGCTATCCAGTATAAATAAAGTTAGTTTAGTTTAGGTTTCCTCCTGTAGTAACACTGGATCAATAAGAGATGATGCTTACTGGACCTCTAGGAAGAACAGTTTAGAACTGATAGAGCTATCCAGTATAAATAAAGTTAGTTTAGTTAAGGTTTTCTCCTGTAGTAAAACTGGATCAATAAAAGATGATCTTTACTGGACCTCTAGGGCGAACAGTCTAAGCTATCCAGTATAAATAGGTATAATTACCTGTCCCAATCGTCAGTTCCGGGATTATATTTATACGTTGGCTGAAACTGGATCCATCCTTCTTTAAATTTTTGAAAACATTTTTCATTCCGCATTTGAGCAATCAACTAAACAAAAAAGTACATTCTAGTTAGCCCTGTGAACGAAGTAAGGAGGTGTTGGACCGCATTCATATTTTAAATGCAAACAAACTTTACATGTATATTTTATTAGTACTTTATCTGTAAAATTATGCTAAAATGAAGAGATTTTAGATGGTACGCCAAAGAGAAAATGATGTCTGAAGTTCAGTAAGTTTTGCTTATATTGTTGTATAAATATGGCGTCAATTTTACAGCATCAATGATAATTGTCTTTAAATTGACAATATTTAACTATTATTTTGTGTTTCTCAACCGCCAGATACATTTAAAAAGGTTGCCAACTGTGTAAACTACAAAATAAAGCTAAAACAAAGTAATTTGAGACGAACGCCAAAATATATATTTAGGTTTTGAACACATTTTTATTTATTTTATTTTATTTATTTTATTTTATTTATTTTATTAAAAGTGTTTGAAGGTATTTTTTAAAACTATTTCTAATGAATAAAATTACTAAAAGCATGGATAATAAAATAAATGGATAGGAAACTAGCTGACGTGACCTAATGTTTTCAATGGACTGATGGCGTGATTGGATGTTGAAACCTAGTTGCAAACCAAATTCTCAAAAACGGCATGTTTAGCAATAATACAGCTAAACATTTTAGTCAAAGAGCAAATGAATATAACTACGCCATTCTACATTGAAATCTCTATTCCCAGTCAATTTTAGCGAATATTTCAAGCACTAAAAAGTGAAAAATGCATCCCAAATTTCGTTAAAATTGGGGACGTCAATTTCGTAGCTACAAATGTAAAAAAATACAAAACAAAGACGAAAAACATTTACCTTGAATACTTTGTCGTGGCTTAGGCGTGTTTTTAAAACAATTAGACCAGTTCATGCTTCAATATTGCTCTTTTAAAGCAGAAAGTCTAGCGAAACAACAAAAATGCCGAGAACTTTGCAATACGCGTGACGTCACAGATTGCAACTCGGTTGTTTTTGCTTACGTCAGCTAGAGTCCTATCCATTTATTTTATTATCCATGCTAAAAGCTTGCCGTGAATACTATACCTGGTCGTGCTCGACTAGATCGTGATATTGGTTTGTGTCAATATAGTTTCTCACTGTTTCATTTGGCAAGTCAATGCGATAGTTCAAGTCGCCAAACCAAAATACAACACTAAAGAAATGAAACGAAATATGGAATGAAATTTCTTGCGAACAGCCTGCCTAACAAAACAAATGCAGTGTGTTTCAGATTGTTAGCGCATGGCCACCGAAAATTCGAAGCTACAGAGGCCAGTTCTCGAGCTCCAAATTTGTATCTATAGAAACAAAATCCCATCTACTAAAAATAATCAGCCTCAGTAATTTTTGTGATCGCTTCATCTATAATCTTAAATGACTATGATAACATGTGAAAGGATTTAGGAAATCTTACTCGTGATCTGTTATGCCCAGCGAATTTCGTGGGAATGATAATCGAGCCATGATGTCACGATAATCCTAGAACAAATATAAAATATCTGGTCATTTTAAATCATGTGCCAGTCTGCACTTCATCAGATAGCATTGTAAACCTCGAGACCCTCCGTGTGTACACGCCCATGGGCTTATTATTGGACACGTATTTATTAATGCAGGGATGGGTATTGCTCAGACGAGTGAAGATAATTACATGTTAACCAACTTGTTTTATGTATAGATTCGTTCACAGTATAGTTTACAAGTACTTCAAAAACTCATTAATAATTCATGAGGAAAACACAGAGAAAAATCATAAGCGTGTCGTATCTTTATATGTGATAGAGACTTCTCTTGATTTACATAAACTTTAACTTTGATTTTGTCGACTTACACAACGTATTTTTTAAAAATTACTTCGCCAATGAACTTACTAGATCGATCGTCTTTAAAGCAATTTAAAACATTCGCAGTGCGTGTTTTATCAAACCTAAAAATACTCAGCTTCGCCTCTTTATATCTGATAAAACATTGCTGCTCATGTTTTAAATAGTACTTCAAAATATACTTATACACACAAACAACACAATCATGTAAGTTTTATGAATCGAGATGTACACAGGCCCAAACTCCATAAATCTCAAACATGTGTCATGAAATGACTTATATTGTCTTGAAGACATTAAAGTTATTAAATTTTTAAATCTTGCAATACAGAAAGATCAGAAACTACATCACAACGCAAGTTGTTCCACGCAAACGCTGCTCATGACGAAGGGGTTGGCAATATTCTATATTCGGGGGAGGGGGCTTATACTCGGAGTTTTACGGCGACCCAAATATCATTACACATACCAAAACTTACATTTGGAGTCAGTGAAACTTTGCCAACACTTTCCCATTGTTAAATTTTTATATGTTTAGATACAATAGAACACCCTTTCTATAAAAGAAAACTCGGACTCACTTGATTCCTTCTTTCGACCTCTTCTTGATGTGCAGCCAGATGTGAATTAACAAAACAAACTGTCGTATTAAACAGTCTGAATCTTACAGCAACTCCGCCTTTATTACCCTAGAATATAAAACACAGATTAGGCCTGAGATTTTGCTTTGAAGAACAAATGTCGGACCAAACTGGTCCTATATTGCTTAATAAACAAAATTTTAATCTAGACCAGTCTAGACAAAAATTTCATCACAGCTTGTAAGAGCATCACAAAATTTAGTTATATTCCGAAGTTTCGTTGCGAAATGTTGTAAAATGCGGATAATATAGCCCTGCGAAGTTTGCCGTTTTTCAGTTATTTTGTATTACGCACGGGAAATTGATACTTTTTTCAGAAAGCGCGGTGTCAATCTCCCGCGCGTAATACAAAATGACTGAAAAACGGCAAACTTCGTAGGGCTATATTATCCGCATTTTACAACATCTCGCAACGAAACTTTGGAATATTACTAATTTTGTGATGCTCTTTCAAGCTGTGGTGAATTTTTTGTCTAGACTTGTTGAGATCAAAATTTTGGTTATTTGGTTTTGGTTATTGGTTCGACATTTATCAGTTTGTCTCGTACAATGGACAAAATAAAGTTTTTCCCACAAACAGGCCACATCTCCCGGTAACACGTTCGACTCTTACCATCATTCCCATAATTCCAGTTCCTACTTCTCTCGTTTCGACATCTTGAACGTAATTGTGAAGTTCGATTTTGATAAATACGACAAGGAGCATCCCAACAAGACGCACGAATTGCACCTAAAACGACGGGAAAAACAAACTCGTTTTCCAATCGGCTAAAAGCCTACGGATAATTCTAGGTATTGCAAGTGTCCGCATTATATCAGAGACCTTATCATTCACGTTTACAGTACAACAAACGTCACAAACAGTGAAGCAACGTTCTACAAGTTTTCGACAGTTTTGGGCCCGGTCATAATTTATGGACGCCGGGGGTGCCACTGAAGAGAAATACGCGCTCGTGTTTCATACAGTTTTCTCGTGTTTGGATCCCCTGATGAAACACTCAAACTCGTTGTTTACATATAACATGACTGTTGACATTGCTTTTTAGTCTTCAATATTTGAGTGAGTCATGCTTTGGAAATGACAATACATTTTTATTACCCAACCTTTGAGTTGTTTTGCTTTTCATTTACCCAACCTTTTACTCACTCAAAATTTTGTTTACCCAACCCTTTTCTCTTCGATGCCGCCCCCCACCCCCCATAAATAATGATGCATGATCTCAAAGTACGATTTGAAATTTGCCGTCTGCCTTAAAGTCTCTTTAAACGTTGAGGGTAATTGGCAAAATGTCTCAAATAAATTGCTCCGCGTAGGTAAACGAATTGGTCGGATATTTTATATATTCAAAACTTTAACTCTGGGTTTAGTACTAATGAGTTTTGAACAAACATCACCAGAATTATAAATGAAACACAGCAATCGTGCTCAATGGACCTATTCCCTAATGAACAAAATTTTGATCTAGGCAAGTCTGGACAAAAATTTCATCACAGCTTGAAAGAGCATCACAAAATTAGTAATATTCCAAAGTTTCGTTGCGAGATGTTGTAAAATGCGGATAATATAGCCTTGCGAAGTTTGCCGTTTTTCAGTCATTTTGTATTACGCACGGCAAATTGATACCTTTTTTCAGAAAGCGGTATCAATTTCCCGTGCGTAATACAAAATGACTGAAAAACGGCAAACTTCGCAGTGCTATATTATCCGCATTTTACAACATTTCGCAACGAAACTTCGGAATATTATTAATTTTGTGATGTTCTTTCAAGCTGTGATGAAATTTTTGTCTAGACTTGTCTAGATCAAAATTTTGTTCATTAGGGAATAGGCCCATTGCTTTGCTTCTATGAAGACCCAATTGTGAAAATATTTCATAATTTACTGCATACTTTTTCGTATTTCCCGACTTTATTCACACCAACTCTGACTTTCTCCAGCCACTCTGCCTCGCGCTTCGAGTCGCGTCCCATAAACGCCTCGGCACTTAGGTCCAGTTCCTGAAACCCAACAGCTATGACGTCAGGCGCGCCATCATCTGTCGTAAACCAACGCCGTAAGTCGCCCCCAGGCTCCTGCCCGTTTACATTCCAAGTGCAGACTAGAAATCTATGAAAATTAAGAACTAGCTTATAGCAAACTGAATTAACTTAGTTTAGTTTAGGTTTCTTTCTGTAGTAACACTGGATTAATAACAGTTTAGAAGTAATAAAGTTATCTAGTATAAATAAAGTTAATTTAGTTTAGTTTAGGTTTCCTCCTGTAGTAACACTGTAGAGGTGTGCGTCGGATCGGATTGACCTCTCTCAATCCGATGGTTTGTCTAAGTTCTCAATCCGAATCCGATCCGAAACAATGTTTATAAAATCCGATCCGATCCGATGCTAAAATTCGTAATCCGATCCGATCCGAACTTAAGTTGTGTACGCTGTACAGCGTGCGTTAATTATTATGAACGTATTTTTTCATGATCATAAACGATATATTGGAAATAATGAATTTCTAGCAAAAATAAGCAGATACGAATCCGATAAAAATTGCAGGGCGATATCACATAATTATGCCTTATAGCGTTCACATTTACAGTACACAGTAACAGCAGTTTATATTTTATTAGAATTAGCATAGAAAAAAAACCCAACTAGTCAAAAATGTTTTATTCAGTATAATAAATCATGAGCTTGAGCTAGGTTTACATTTTAAAACATCTTAAAGTTTGATATTTGTGGTGTTACTCTGAGTGTATATCCACACCGGGCGAGCTTGAAAAGGTCGTAGGTTCGAATCCCACCGTGGCCGGGCATATTTTTCAAGCTCGCCCGGTGTGGATATACACTCAGAGTAACACCACAAATATCATATTCACCTGAGTACACTACACCAACACCGACAAAAAAAATTCATCTTAAAGGGAAATGGCAATATATTTTTTTATTTTCTCATTTGAAAGAACTTTTGAAACTATTTAATAACTTCTTTTACCGATTCTTCATATCTTGCTTAGTTCTTTAAATATTTTCACTTGAAGTAATGAGATGTCAGCCATCTTGGATAAATTTTTTATCTCATTAACGGTAGTTTTGGTGACGTCACAACAGGGATTAACCATATAAAAGTATTCGTTGTTGACCAAATATTGATTGGTAGATGTTTTAAAGGTTTCAAGTGATCTTGATATTTCCAAGGGCAGACAGTGTATAATTTTGAGTGCAAAATGATTAGTGGTTGTATAGATAAAAATATTGCATGACCCCTGTTGTGACGTAACATGCATATCTACAAAAATTCAAAATGGCGGACATTTCATTTCTTTCGATTAAAATATTTGTAGAAGTAAGCAAGATATGAAAAAACGGTAAAAGAGTTTTATATATGGTTTTAAATGTTCTTTCAAATGAGAAAATAAAAAAATATATTGCCATTTCCCTTTAAAGTTTATCACTAATAAACCTCATTGTCAGGCTTCATGATACATAAACCTAACAAACCAAACAAAAAAACACAACATTCCTAAATTTCCTATATATCCAATTCCCGTACGTAAACTGAGAAATATACGTCCAAATTTGGGTGGCATAATGGCATTCGTTATTCGCGAATCGCGATTTCGCGAGCGAGCAAAACGTTACTTTAACTTTGTAGTTTGTAGTTTGTATGGACTATATAGATTATGGAATTACTTTTATGCTCAAAGCCATTGTGAATTCTGATGCCATTTGTAACGTAAAAAGTGGAATACAGCTGCAGAATATAGAACTTTCTCAATTTGTAAAAATATTCGAATAATTCGACGTGATACAAGAAAAATCAAATCCGAACCGATCCGACAAAAAACCTGCAAAATCCGATCCGATCCGACAGAAACAAAACGAAATCCGATCCGATCCGAGTAATTTACTGTCCGAATCCGGATCGGATTCGCACACCTCTATAACACTGGATCAATAAGAGATTATCCTTACTGGACCCCTAAGAAAAACAGTTTAGAACTGATAGAACTATCCAGTATAAATAACGTTAGTTTAGTTTTCTTCCTGTAGTAACATTGAATCAATACGAGATTATCCTTAATGGACCTCTAGGAAGAACAGTTCAGACTGATAGAGCTATCCAGTATAAATACAGTTGGTTTAGTTTAGGATTCCTCTTGTAGTAACACTGGATCAATAAGAGATGATCCTTACTGGACCTCTAGGAAGAACAGTTTAGAACTGATAGAGCTATCCAGTATAAATAAAGTTAGTTTAGTTTAGGTTTCCTCCTGCAGTAACACTGGATTAATAAGAGATGATCCTTACTGGACCTCTAGGGAGAACAGTTTAGAACTGATAGAGCTATCCAGCGTAAATAAAGTTAGTTTAGTCTAGGTTTCTTCCTGTAATAACACTGAATCAATAAGAGATGATCCTTCCTGGATCTCTAGGAAGAACAGCTTGGAACTGATAAAGCTATCCAGTATAAATAAAGTTAGTTTAGGTTTCCTCCTGTAGTAACACTGGATCAATAAGAGATGATCCTTACTGGACCTCTGGGGAGAACAGTTTAGAACTGATAGAACTATCCAATAAAGTTAGTTTAATCGCAGCTCCATGACCAACCTCATTTGCCGAATATCAACAAACTCGGCTTCTCGCTCTCCTAACAGCAGCCTGACAAACGTATCCCTTTCGGTTCTAAAATTTAGCGGTGCGTCAGCTATGGTGCTGCTCGAGGTGAAGGACGCTCTTTCCGGGCGAGACCTCCGGACGACTTCGTTCGAAGACAGCACTGGTGAACTCAGGTTCAGCATCCCCAAATTGTCTAGAAAAAATGAGGAATAATAAATGTAAAGTGACAATTACCTCGAACAGAAGATTATGTTTCGAAGGAAGAAACGAAACTATTAAGAAGGGTTTTTTGTATCCAATGACTTTGAGTTTGGGTCGGAAATAAGTCTCAATGACACAAATTAATATCAGTACAATGTATTAATTCTGAACTAAATGTTGTGAAGATATTAAATATGAAACATGAAACTTTAGACTCCAGAAAATTGCACAAGCAGTTATCAAAGTCATGTCACAGAAGTGGTAAAGGACATGTGTGGCAACTGAATGGTATCCTTTTGTGAAGTTTTTGGCCAGGGGTGGGTATTTACTTTTTAATTGATATTTGAAGTCGGGTAAAAAATTTTATACGACTTTTTAATGGTTGGAACAGTAACATTTTTACCAAGGGAAACATTTGTCCTCGGTAAATGAGATGTCGAGAAATTCTGATAATGTCATACTGACCTGAATCGAATGGGTCTGGATCTTTGGAAGATGTATCACATGACAAATTATTGAACGATAAAAGATAACTTTCAAATGATGGACCATCTAAAAAATTATTTTTAGAAAGTTCACAGGTGCACAAACGTAAAAGCTAGAACAGTTTAAAACTGATAGCGCTGTCCAGTATAAATAAAGTTTGTTTAGTATAGGATTCCTCTTAAACCATAAACTATAGCTAATGTAAATCAAAACATACAGTGTAATTTAACTAAATAATTTACCGGATGTATCCGATGGTTTAAACATGACAGTGGTATAATTTTCAAGCCATTTGAACGTGGACTCTCCGACAACACTTGCTCGTTGCTTGTAAGCTGTATAAAGAACAATGATATAATGAATTAAATATTTAATATACTGCCACTACAAATGACGCTGCAGTGGTTCTGGTGGCAACTTCCTAAAAAAAGATTTTATCTTGTTGTACAATATTACTTATACTGGACCCCTCGTTTGAGATATATTTTTCCGGTAGTTCAAACACAAACCACGACAGCTTATTGTAGCATACTACCTACACTGGACCACCACGTTTGAGATATCTTTTTCAGGTAGTTCAGACACAAACCACGGCAGCTTATTATATAGAATACTACCTACACTGGACCACCACGTTTGAGATATCTTTTTCAGGCAGTTCAGACACAAACCACGGCAGCTTATTGTAGAATACTACCTACACTAGACCACCACGTTTGAGATATCTTTTTCAGGTAGTTCAGACACAAACCACGGCAGCTTATTGTATAGAATACTACCTACACTGGACCACCACGTTTGAGATATCTTTTTCAGGTAGTTCAGACACAAACCACGACAGCTTATTGTAGAATACTACCTACACTGGACCACCACGTTTGAGATATCTTTTTCAGGTAGTTCAAACACAAACCACGACAGCTTATTGTAGAATACTACCTACACTGGACCACCACGTTTGAGATATCTTTTTCATGTAGTTCAGATACAAACCACGGCAGCTTATTGTAGAATACTACCTACACTGGACCACCACGTTTGAGATATCTTTTTCAGGTAGTTCAGACACAAACCACGACAGCTTATTGTAGAATACTACCTACACTGGACCACCACGTTTGAGATATCTTTTTCAGGTAGTTTAGACACAAACCACGGCAGCTTATTGTAGAATACTACCTACACTGGACCACCACGTTTGAGATATCTTTTTCAGGTAGTTCAGCCACAACTAACCACGACAACTTATTGTAGAATATACTACCTACACTAGACCACCACGTTTGAGATATCTTTTTCAGGTAGTTCAGACACAAACCACGACAGCTTATTGTAGAATACTACCTTCAGTGGACCACCACGTTTGAGATATCTTTTTCAGATAGTTCAGACACAAACCACGGCAGCTTATTGTAGAATACTACCTACACTGGACCACCACGTTTGAGATATCTTTTTCAGGTAGTTCAGACACAAACCACGGCAGCTTATTGTAGAATACTACCTACACTAGACCACCACGTTTGAGATATCTTTTTGAGGAAATTCAGACACAAACCACGACAGCTTATTGTAGAATACTACCTACACTGGACCACCACGTTTGGGATATCTTTTTCATGTAGTTCAGGCACAAACCACGGCCGCAGCTTATTGTAGAATACTACCTACACTAGACCACCGCGTTCGAGATGTCTTTTTCAGGAAATTCAGTATTTATACATGAACTTGCGCTAGCTTGACTTAGAGCGCTGCATTTATTATATATTACATACTCATTACATATTTCTTACTATTTATCGCCTTCTTCAATTCCATGATAAAACGTCCAACGTGTTCACCCGATGTAAATTCAATGACGAGCCGAACACCGTTTTCTGCAGCGATGCGAACAGAGACCTCCTTTCCTGCAAAACAAAATGTAAGACTTGCTGAGTTTTTCACTCATTCGTGAGCGGATTTCCCAACAGCCCAGTAATCGACATAGGGGATTCGAGGTATACCTATGATTTTAAAGTCGTTATCCGAGAAGACACGAAAGTCTAACCATTTATTGATGTCAATGTAAAGGTAGCAGTTTGCCCTCAAGTATTTTAAGGCCTGGAGTAGAGATCCGACCAAGGATTGAACCTGGGTCTCCCATGTGGCCAAAAGGTATGCCGAAAACAAACGTACTTTATAGCCATAAACCCTGGCTATAAGGTATGCCAAAAACAGGCGTACTTTATAGCCATAAACCCTGGCTACAAGGTATGCCGAAAAACAGACGTACTTTATACCCACAAACCATGGCTATAAGGTATGCCAAAACAGACGTACTTTATACCCATAAACCCTGGCTATAAGGTATGCTAAAAACAGACGTACTTTATAACCATAAACCTTGGTTATAAGGTATGCCAAAACAGACGTACTTTATAGCCATAAACCTTGGCTATAAGGTATGCCAAAAACAGACGTACTTTATACCCATAAACCCTGGCTATAAGCTACGCTAAAAACAGACGTATTTTATAGCCATAAACCCTGGCTATAAGGTATGCCAAAAACAGGCGTACTTTATAGCCATAAACCTTGGTTATAAGGTATGCCAAAAACAGACGTACTTTATAGCCATAAACCCTGGCTATAAGGCATGCCAAAAACAGGCGTACTTTATAGCCATAAACCTTGGCTATAAGGTATGCCAAAAACAGGTGTACTTTATAGCCATAAACCCTGGCTATAAGGTATGTCAAAACAGCCGTACTTTATAGCCATAAACCCTGGCTATAAGGTATGCCAAAAACAGGTGTACTTCATAGCCAGAAACCCTGGCTATACGGTATGCCAAAAACAGACGTACTTTATAGCCATAAACCTTGGCTATAAGATATGCCAAAAACAGACGTACTTTATAGCCATAAACCTTGGCTATAAGGTATGCCAAAAACAGACGTACTTTATAGCCATAAACCCTGGCTACAAGGTATGCCAAAAACAGACGTACTTTATAGCCATAAACCTTGGCTATAAGATATGCCAAAAACAGGCGTACTTTATAGCCATAAACCTTGGCTATAAGGTATGCCAAAAACAGACGTACTTTATAGCCATAAACCCTGGCTACAAGGTATGCCAAAAACAGACGTACTTTATAGCCATAAACCTTGGCTATAAGATATGCCAAAAACAGGCGTACTTTATAGCCATAAACCTTGGCTATAAGGTATGCCAAAAACAGACGTACTTTATAGCCATAAACCCTGGCTACAAGGTATGCCAAAAACAGACGTACTTTATAGCCATAAACCTTGGCTATAAGATATGCCAAAAACAGGCGTACTTTATAGCCATAAACCTTGGCTATAAGGTATGCCAAAAACAGACGTACTTTATAGCCATAAACCCTGGCTACAAGGTATGCCAAAAACAGACGTACTTTATAGCCATAAACCTTGGCTATAAGATATGCCAAAAACAGGCG